CACAGATATTTCTGGTTGTACTACAACCTCCACTACTAATACTACTCATTCCACCATTAACAACAGCAAAGATGCTGCTATTACCAGTAAAAATGAAATATTACTGCCAATGGTACGAATACTGCTACTATTTCTAGCAGTAATGTCAATAACATAGCTGAACAGTAGTGCATTCATGTCTTATAAAACTTGCAGTCGTGACTGAAATGGGAGAGAAGCTTATTAAAGCGCAACGAGGTTCTTTTGAAATAAACAATATTTAAATAAACATCGGTGTTCAGTAAGTACGTTGCAACTACCGACATCATTTTCATGCCCAGCAGAGCATAAGATTCATCAGACAACTAACTCAGCAAGCTTCCTACCTGTTGAAGTTGTCATGAATGTGTTTATTAGCCTTACTGAAACAGAATCCAAAGCTGGGCTGAGAAATGAGGGGAGTTGAGTTGAGTCATGCGATCTGTGAGAAATAACGGTAAACTAATAACCTGCGATTAAACACTCTCACATGTTCATTTCTCTGATGCGTTGTGCTTGTGATAAATTTTGGAACCTTGCTAACGAGTAAAATAATCTTTAAGCATTTTCTCTGGGTTCATACGCATGTTTAGATGACGCTGTTACCGTTTTACAGTGCTACCGTCAGATGTTTCCTAGGAATTTATTGTCATGAGTCCAATTCGACTCATGAGTGGTCAGATGTTCAACGAAGGTAACGCAAAAACAAAAAACTACTCGACCAAACTTCATGATATTGGCTGAGCAAGGATGGCACGCTTCAGCCTGAATCACATTTTCTCGTAATCGTTCCGCGATAATAGGGGAAACTGAGAATCACTGAATCAATTATCAAAATAAAAGTAATCTTATTATAACTAAATTAATCAAATCGAAGTTCAAAAATTCACAATTTGGCCCAGTATAGCAAGAAGCAGAGACTACAGTGTGGAATTTTTTGTCTCTAGCGAAAGATTCGTAAATGGGGAGGCAACCTACGTAAAACTGAATATGTCCGGCAAAGCAACGACGCTTATGGTGGAATAGGTTTCTCTACTGTATAGACGATAACCGAGAAATGTTATCAAGCAGGTACATTATGAGAAAGAGACTCGCCCCTGGTGTGTATTCAAAGCCGCTGTCGCCGACAGTTAAGAAATAAGAACCTTGACAGAGCTTGGAACCCTGATAGAGCTGCACAAAGGAGTGAAATCTAATTAAGTGACAATTACCGAAAGCGGATGACTGACGTGGATTTCATTTTCGACGACTAAAAGGTAGCACTGAACTTCATGACCGCAAAAGAGGGTCTCCGTGATTCCTTCTGGTTACAATCAACAAGAATTTTACATTAAGGTTTTATCTGTTTTCAAAGTTAAAAAATTCCCATTAAAAGATAATTTCATCCATTGTCATTAGACATCCAACAAGAACGCTAGGATGACTACGAAAATACATTAGTCTTTACTCTTCTGCTTAGTTTTCAAAGGCCAGAGAGAAAAATGTCTCTGAATGAAAATAACTGATTGATCGTTCTTCGCAATTAACGGGCATAACGACTGCCAAGTCTCAATGTCCACGTTCGTCTGTCTCGTGCGACTTGTCGCCACATGATTCCATATCTCATTTAGCTGACCGGACGATATGAACTAAAGTCTTCCAATTAAGCATCTGCAGCTCCTCATGCACCAGTCCGTCACTGCTCATAAGTACGTCCATCATCTGTCAGTCGTGCGATGTAGTCTGCCCTTGTGCGACTCGAGCTGAATGCAAGGGACGGAAGGATGTTCGTTTATGCTTTTCATTTTATTCGACCTTGGAAAGTGGCTATGGCTACTGTCTACGTTTGACAGGAGTCTTGGAAAAAAAGTTCGTATGCCCTTCATCCCGAACGCATGGCGCCAAATGACGGCTCTGTGAGTATATTACCCGCTAGAAGTTTTCCTTAGTTTGCTTAGGCACATCCACCTGTCCTCAGAAGATTTCTCCTCTGCACCATTAGCGGTGTCTCGTCTTGCGGAGGAATGAAA